CTGGAACAGCTACAGTGACAGAAGATACATCTTCATGATGAACCTGACCTATACTCAGAGCAGTAGTTACTCTAAATACCAACAGAGAGGGAAAGTCTTCAAATCAAGTATCAATGCTATCTGCTCTGTGCACAGGGTAGATAGGGACAGGAAACTTAGACACTGGCTACCTAAAATGAGGGGCATTAAGGCACTTAATGGTGACTGGCTTACAAGGTTTCAAGAGGGAGTTTAGCTTAAAAGTATGGGGGGAAAGAAAGAGTCCCCACTGAATAGCTGTCATCTTGCCTAGATGGGTCAGGTGAAAAGAGATGGGGATAAGATTCGTAAGATTCAATAGTGAATAACTGTTACCATGACTAATTGCGACTGTCACAATTGTAAAGGTAGAAGTTTTGTAACAAAAAAAGGGGGAGTGGTTAATCTTATAGTCCAGAAACAGAGGACCCTAGGACCATCAAGAGAGGAACGCACAAGCAGAATGCGGGACCTTATCCAAAGAAGCAGCAGCGCCAGCGATGTAGGCAGAGATGGGGGCATGGAGAGGGGGTGTGGCTGAGGACTCTAGATTTGTTGGCTAAGAAGTGAGGGACTAAGAGCTGGTGGCCAGGAGCAGATTTGCAGAATGTGCCCTTTGGAGATGTAAATTATTATATATGCCTGAGTGGGTTTTGTTGTTTGTGTGTTTTTTAAAAAGCTAAACTGGATAGAGAGAAATATTGTTAACTGATGATACATGGAGGGGATTATAATCAATGTAATGAAACGAGGTATATGATTTGTTGAATGTAAAACTGATGATATGCCCTGTAAACTTTCACTCAATCCACAATAAAAACATTAAATAAAAAAAATCAAAAAAAAGAGAAAAACAAACTATGCACTGGTAATCTAAGGGACTTGGGACTGCAGATTCGAGCTGTACAGGTGTCTTTTTAAGCTCACTATCTCACTATTAATGTTCCAATGTATCATGCTGTTATATGGATTATAAATAGTCTTTGTTCTGTTTATTTATAAAAACTAGATATATGAGGGGGCTTCAAAGAGTTCGTGGAAATATTCCATTTTTCCATGAATTGTTTAAAGCTCCCTTATATATATGTTATGTGCTGTTGAGTCAGTTCTGACTCATAGTGACCTTGTGTAGGGTTTCTGAAAGTTTAAAAAAATCTTTGCAGGAGCAGAAGGCCTCATCCTTCTTCTGTGGAGCCACTAGTGGGCTCAGACCACCGACTTTGTGGTTCACAGTACACTGCTTATGTTACAGACCCACTGTGCTCACCCCTTCATATATATTGTTGTTAAGTGCCACTGAGTTGGTTCTAACCCACAGTGACTGTGGATAAGTTTTCCGAGGAGCAGCTTGGTAAGTCCCCTTTCTGCTCTGGGATTGTACAGAGGAGCTAAGAGTCAGTTGTATGTTGTTGCTGTTAAGTGTTGTCTAGTCCGTTCCAACTCATAATGACCCTGTACAGGGTTTCCAAGCAGGAGCTGGTGAGTTTGAACCGCTGACCTTGCAGTTCAAATAGGCCTTGCTGTCCAGTGCATTATCCTACAGAGCTACACCAGGGTGCATGACTAATTGAAAAGACACAGTTTTCAAAATAAAAGAGACGATGCATCAACTAGCAGAGAGCCTGGTTAAGAGTGATATTACTGGTAGATGTTGGGAGTCTAGCCAGAGAGACAAGGGGTTTACTCCAATGGGGATGGTACAGAGACGGAGGACGTGGGCAGTGTCTCCTCCATTAGCCTCGAGATGCTAGGAGGAGACTGCCCAGGAGGGGGTGGGCCACATTTCATGAAGAACAGGAACACAAAGTAACTGAGTACTTACATCTTATGCATTCCCCTAGTATTGGCTATATATTTTATAAACAATACCTCACTCATTCCTCTTAATAATTCTGACTTACAAAGGTCAACTTTCTGCAGAAATGGAGGCTTAGAGAAAGAGGAGGCTGTCTGGTGGTGGTGGTCCACAGCAGAGTTCTAGATCTCAGCAATCCCCGCCAGCCTCAGCTCTGAAGCAGAGCCAGACTCTGAGCAGACACCCTGCTGGAGATGGATGGCTGCAACAGTGAGCAGCCCACAGGAGGGTCAGCATCCCACCACTGGCTGTGTGCTGTGCCGTCAGTTCTGACTCATAGTGACCCTGTACAGGGTTTCCGAGGCTGTAAATCTTTACGGGAGCAGAAAGCCTCATCTTTCTCCTGCGGAAC